CCCCAAAACCCCAAAACCCCAAAACCCCAAAACCCCAAAACCCCAATGGGTTCGATAAATAATACTAATTATTCAATTTTAAAGATGAGTCTTGAACAACAATTAGACGAGGTCTTAATTCAAATGACCTCTCAGATTGGAAATGGCCTTGATGGGCTACTCGATCAATTCTTTGGATTCCTCCAAAGGAGAACTGACTTCTACTATGAGCAAGAACCAGGTGATAAAATGGGCTTCCCACCAGGAGTTGCAGAAGGAAAATGATTCAACTATTTCAAGAAATATCAAATGATGCATTTCAAGAAATTCCCTCAAAAGGAAGGCTTAGTAGAGAGATGGAAGGAATATACTCAAAAGCAGAAGGAACAAGCTGAAGCAAAGAAAACTCAAGAAGCTGATTCGAAGGTAGAAGAGGTTGAAGAAGAAAAGAAAGAAATATCTACAGAGGAGAAAGCAAAACTTATGACACAACAAATTAAGAAAGATAATGCTAAGGAGTTAGGAGTTCCTCCACCAACCTCTATACCAGAGCCTCCGAAAGAAGCTCCAAAGGAGATGCAGGATATTAGTACTTATAATGGAGATTCTACTGATAAATATAAGTGGTCTCAGGATATCACTGAAGTTATCGTTCAGATAGATCTTCCAGAAGGAACTTCAGCTAAATCCCTTGAAGTAGATATTAAAACAAAATACTTGAAGGTAAAGAATAAAGCTACTGGAGATGAGTATATTGATGGTGAACTCTTTGAAAAAATTTCTCCAGAGGATTGATTCTGGAGTATAGAAGACAAGAAGAGATTAATTCTTACTCTTACAAAAGGACAAGAAGTCATATGGAAGACCATTATTGTAGGGGATCAAGAAATCGATCCAAAAACTGTAGATAACAGCAAGAGAATAGATCAATTTGACCAAGAAACACAAGGACATTTGCAGAAAGTACTCTATGAACAAAATAGAAAACTAAATGGCTTACCAACCACTGAAGAAATGGAACAACAAAAGCTCATGGAAAAAGTGATGAATGCAGAAAATTCTCCTTTTAAAGACTCTCCATATGATCCTCCTAAATATGGTGAAGGTCCACAGATTCCTTTTAAACAGTAATTCGAACAATGAGAGGTTTTAGAATAATCTTCAATATTCTAAAATTTGGAGGGGTTTTGGGGTTTTGGGGTTTTGGGGTTTTGGGG